GCTATAGGATTTAATAGTTCATGTTTTATCAGTGGATATAGGTTTTTATCTAAAAGATGATTATATACATACTTGTGTTATGCATGTGCCTAGCTGGAAATTTATTTACGATGTCAATAGAACTAGTGAAATTGTTCATTCGTTATCGAAACAGCTAGCAAAATATAGTAAAGAGAAAAAAGATTCCATCGATCGATCGCACATGTATATTTATAGAGTGGGTCGACGTGTAAAGTTGATAAAAACATTACATAAAATAAATAAAAATCGAAAAAGCTATTCGAAATTATGGAACCTTTAATGAAACTTCCAATTATTGATCACCTTCGTGAACAAGAACGGAAACTTCTCCGCCTCTTGGCCACCGTGATGGCCGTGGTGGTGGTGGTGGTGGATGACGTCGTCGTCTGGTTATAAACGGAGGCGAAGAACCGCTCGATCTCATCTTTGTTGACGATGATCTCATACGACTTGGATAATGACGTCATAAGCTTCCTCTTGCAAGATCTGATGCCGAGAGACGACGGTGTAGAAGGTGGACGGGGTTTCTGCGGCGGAGGAGGAGGAGTGGTGGCTGTGGTGGGAGGAATCTTGTGGTCGGAGGAAGTAGGAGTGGTGCAGCCGCCGCCGTCATCATCTCTGTTGGTGTTGGTTCGGATCTTGATGGCTGGTGGGAAATTCAAGATGGGCAGATCTTGTATTAAATCAAGATCCATTCTTTTTTTATATATATATAAATATTAAATTTATATGTTCTTGAAGGGTTATTTTTGTTTGTGTGTTTTAGCGTGTGCCTGAACAAATCTTCTTAGAGAAGTGGACTTGTGGGTTTCTTATATATATGTGCTTCTGTCTTTACATACATGCCTTTTTTGTTGTATATGTGTGTATATACTTTAATATAATTGGAAAGATAAGCGACGATAGAGATAAATCCACTACTACAATTCTCTTCATTTACACTTGATAGATAAAACTAAGCCACATGCCATGTGAATTTATTAATATTAGTTAAAGTGTCTTTACAAAAAAAATTAAGATAGTTAAAAACTTATATTAGAGGAAATAGTGATGTAAGAAAATTTCTTACATGCACATTGAAACAACGAAATAATGACTGTAATAAGTAATTCATAGTGACTATTTTTATGTCAGTAAAAAGAAATTGGATATGTTTTATTAACGAACCAAAAAGAAAAACGTGTGTGTTACATATGAAGCTTAAAAAGCTAGCTAGACAGTAAAGAAAATTCAATAGTGGAAGCAAAGAATATAGATTTTTAAGAAAAAAATCAATTGTTTTCTACTGTAGCAAAAACAGTTACATAGACTACATAGTATATGCATCTATTAATCGAGAGATAGAAAAGTCATCTTTCCAAAATGAAAAAAAAAATGTGGAAAAGAGGGTATATATTCATATTTTTGGATTGAGAGTTACATCCACTTAGAAGAAGAATCAAATCAAGAATAGGGAGCGCTATATAGAATTAATTTTACTTTAACAAAAATATTCAAAGAACATATTTTTTGAAACTATCAAACTTCTATCAATGCGAATGTAGACTAAACATGCATGTAATTTTACTTTTTAGAAAGAATAAAAAAGAAATCAGATTTTATTTATGGAAGTCTACTAACATGCAAATTGTTTGGTTAAAGTAGTAATTAACATGCATATATGTTTGGAAAATAATCAAGCAGTAACATGCATATTAGTTCAAGTACATAATAAATACTTTTTATTAGTATTAATAAGAAATATTATATCAAAAATTAGGCAGATATATAAAAAGGATTCAAATTTTAGCTCAAAGTTTTTAATCTAGATCTAAACGTAGAGGTTGGTTAGAATTTATGTCGTGTACCGCTAAAGAAACTAGAGACATGTCATGTGTATAGGACTTTAGACTTTTTGTACATGCATGATGTTTCAATTACATATTTACATGCATATATACATATTTTGTCAGATTAAAAAGAATATATTTATATATTATGTGAAATATATATATGTTTATAACTAAGATCTGGGATATAATTGCATTGGGTTTAATCTAGTTTCCTCTTTTAAATTAACCAAGATTCCATTGACAGAGAAAGTAGCATAGTTTAATTAAGTAAGATTCCATTGTATATCTTTTACTGATACTATTGATTATGATATTAACTTCGTATCCGCACGACATCTACACGTTCGTTTTAATCATGGTTTTTTTTTATATATACTTAAAATAGACTCGATCATGCCAATAATCATATTTCAAAAACTATATAGTTAAATTTGAATCTAGAACTTTAACAAAAAATAAATTTGAATCTAGAAGTCAGCATACACATGAAGTATATGATGAGTGTATGCAGATTTTTGTTACAATTACAAAGGTAATTAAGGTAATTTAGTGTACAGAGAATCTAACATCTAAAGATCTGCCACGTGTCGAATTTGGAGGAGGCATGTAGTGTGATGTAGGGTTGATCTGTGGATGGATGCGACTGGCATTATCAGACAGTGAAAGCCCAAAAAAAAGGTACAGAAAAAGAAACTATCTCTCTGATCTTTTTTTTTTTTCAGTCTATCACTGTCTTTTTTTTTTAATTTTTTTTTCCCATTTTCACTTTAAATATTAACACAAGCTAAGTAACAATATATGTATTACTATTTTTTTTTTTTAAATTTCCTTACGCAGAAATGCATGGACAATTTTTTTTTTTTTTGGGTTGGTATTTCGATCTGGACCACTTTTTTTCGATAAATCTTTTTGAACAACTTTTTTTTTTTTACGGTAAATACTTTTGAACAACTTTAGTTGTTGACAACAAAAAACGTTTGTTGTTACTCAAGCGTTCGTGCTTTAAACTTTTCGTAAGTTTTTGTTGAAGATTTTGGACCATTTGGTATTACTACTCTTAATTAATATTCTTCTTTGTATATGATGATGTATAAGATACTTAAGTAACACATACACATTAGTGTAACCGGTAAGTATAAAATTGAGTGCTGGTTTGACAAGAATTTCGAATATGACACGATATTTGGAAAACGAAATTATTTACAGAAAGATAATTTTGGTTTCAGTTTTATGCGGGTAGATCTATGAACAAAAAAAACCTAGCTAGCTACTTCTCGATAACAACAAGAATGGATGCATAAAATCCTCAATACGATGATATTATATTTACGTGGTTGACATGAAAACAATTCATACGTGGTTGAGTTAGTATGTATTAATTTGTTTAATATTTTATTTGTTGTAAAGTACGATGGGGACAAGGGAAGCAAGTAAAACGTAACGTGCATGTCTTCCTAACAATGTATTAATGTATCCTTATAATAACATCAAGCTATTTTCCAAAATATTATTTCGAATACAATTTTTTATTAAGTAACCGATCGATCATCGATACCAAGTGGATAATGTTCATGATGGTCCTCTCTTGGATGTTTATGCTTAATATCCGATTGTCTCTTATACAAATGTCCAAACCTATATACATGTACACTGATACACACGACAAAAAGAAGGGGAAGAAAAAAAACTAACGTTGAAAAAAGAAAGAAAATAACACTCCAATATAATATATCTTACAAATAGACTTATGAATTTACATCAAAATGTTTATGTTTATCCAATACGTTAACTAAAAAGCTAAATTTTAATTAAAAACAGAAAACCACAAAAATATTTTGTTCCATGATTTATATTTGTGATGATATGCGATTTTTTTTTAAGAAAATAATTTTTGATTTTGTAATGATTAACTCATTGAGGCGGTATAATTATATATAATCAAGAAATTTGAGGTTTATTATATCATCTCTCATATATCTGTGTTGCAATTTTCTTCACAAACGTTCAAAAAACAAAGTAACTAAATCTTTTATTTTCCTCCTTCTATTTATAAATCTTCCGAAGTAGATTTCACTTGGTGTCCTTTTGCATAGGATACCAAAAGAATACCGAGAACTCGGAGTGATTGGGAAAATTGGAGAGCTAGAATATGGTTTATATATAGCTTAAATGGTAAAAACTAATTTGGGGAAAATTTTAAAAAAAGAAATTGGGACCATTTACCAAACCAAACCCCATCAACTTTTCTTGATTCTTTCCTTTTGTCCACATACCATTTAATTTTGTGAAGTCGTTACGTTACTATTCCGATTGATCCAATTTCACGATTAATAAATGTTTAGCTCTTTTGGTCAGTTTTGATGTAGACATTGAAGAAAGGGAAGCTTTGCACGGTTTAGCTTTTCTAAAGTTTTTGTAGGATTTAATTATTATTGGTCCCTCTTTGTTTAGTAGATTGCAAAAAAGGGGTTTGTTGAAGGGTCGATCTAGCCCAAAATCACATGTGAATCCATCTGTATTCGAACACCTTTGTCTACATTATTGAGATATACATAGTTTTTTTTTTCTTTTCTTTTTCGTGGTTTTACATATAGATAAATTAGGTACTAAGCTTTAGTAATGATTTACATCCTTTTTTTCTCTTGTCGAGAGAGGTTCCACTAGATTCTCTATGAAAATCAAACACGAGGGGTGGTGAATCTGCATCAAGACGGTCGTTGGCATTGTTGGTCTTGGGTCTTGTCATCTTCAACATTTGTACGGTGCTTTCACTTTTCTAAAGTCCATTTTATTTAAAATAGCTATGATTAAAATGATGTAACTCCTTGTAGTTTACAAAGAATTGTACTTTTTTTTTGGTTTAGAGGGTTTCTTTTAAGCAATTTATTATTGTAATTTCTTTATTCTGTATATAATTGAAAGATTGTTGAGAGACCAGGTTGGTCGAGTAATTATGATAATAAGTTGAATGAAATTATGCAGCATCAACATCAAAATTGCCTTTTTATTCTGAAACCAATGAAATTGTAGTGTATATACAAAAACCATGAAAGATAAAAAAATAAAAACCTAAATCAGTGGCTAAGAGCTTAAATGCTTTTGTTTCTTACTAAGTTCAAATATTGAAGCAAATAAGAGAGTTCCCAAGGAAACACCTTTACTTTAATGGTGAAGAATAAATTCTAAATCTAAACCCTCTCCTATTATCTCCAGAGAAATGGCAAGAGTGAATCTTTGCTTTCGATGATCTCCGTCTGATTCTCATTGTGTTTTGCTTCCCCCTGTCAAAAAAAGAATTAACTTTCGTCGAGACTGCGCCCGAGTTAATCCGTTCGCTCTACTCAAGTAAATCTCTGTTTTCATCCTCCCAGTGATTTCTGCTTGTAACCGTTTTTGATCCTATCGTAAAGTTTCTCCTTAGTTTTACGCTTCTTGTCCATTTTCAATCGGTATCTTTCTTCACGTTCCCTCTCGTAAACACCTTTCCAGTGTACTTCTCCGGTTAATGGCCATAGCCATCTTTCCCTTGGATGGTCTTTATCATCTGCTGCTTCTGCTAAGTCTTCATCCATGCTTTTCAGTAAAGTGAAGTTAAAGTACTTTGCCCACATTAAACCTTTTCGTTGCAGTAACGGATGTTGTTCCTCGAGTAACCCATCTCTCGGGTTTATGTAAACCATCTTTCTCCCGCTATGATATGCCCAGACATTAACCAATAGTTCCAGAACCCGGCAGTAACAATGCTTTCTCTAATAATTGTTGAAAAAAGAATCATAACAATCAGATATTTGTGAATATCAGAGAACAAAGTCAACAAGTAACAATCTGGGATTTTACCTCGAGCAGTGATGAAGCCAGTGAGCAACTTTTGGAGTCATTAAGATTGTTGTGCAGTGCATCTAGAGACTCTGAGAACATCCTGTGATTGTGGTTGAAACTGGGGCGGTGAGTTTGGGGAAATGCTGGATTTTTAAGTGAATATGTGGGAATATTATTTACCTTGAGAACATGACAAACTCGAGGAAAGACGGAGTTGGCATCACCCAATTGTGGAGAGAAGACCAGTGATGACCATCTTCAGGCATGGGAGGAAGCGCTTCAATGTGTTCTGGTAACCCATACATATGCCGGAATGCATCTTCAAAAGTGGTTCTGCACCAATTAAAAACAAGAGAAACTGATGTGAGCTCATCTATCTGAATATCAGTATACAAAGAAACTAAAGAGAAATGAATTCACATAACGAGAAATCGCCATTATCAGCATAAATTATGGTTATTTCATGTACGGCATGTCTCAACTAAAGATATGGGTTAGTTCAATATTATGCAACTGTATATTTTCCTCGCCACTATCAGCATAAATGTAACAGTTAAAGCGGAGGAATACCTGCAGTTTCCTTGGTTAAGGATATCACACATAGACCAGAATGTAAGCGCATTTTTCCTTCCATACTCATCACCATCAATGTCTAATCTTGTCCAGAAGTAAATAATCTCCCCCTTTGTTTCTTGTTTTATAATGTTTTCCAGGGACTCTTCAGCTTTAGATGATAACGAGACCTGTCTCCATAACAAAAGTGTCATCAAACAGTATCGAAGTTAAATATGGATGTAAAGATGGATATGTGCCTTTTCAAAAATTAATCAATTCAAGCCTTCAAGAAAATTCAAATAGAGTGATACTTATAAACTGTAACTTTGTAAATTAGTTATCAACAACACTACTTTCCAAGAACTACCTTCCTACCAGCAGCACGCCATGACTGAAATCCAATCCAAGGTCTCATGTGAATGCTATCCACTTTATTTGCGACAGAAAACATTCCTCCAATTTCACAAAGTATATCTCGATAATAGGTATCATTCAGTAGAGGTAATCGGTCTGCTGCATCTACATCGTCTGAGCTTAGCCTTCGATCTTTGCTGGACTGAAGTGAAGATATGACCAAAAAATCAAAACCAGCAATATGATAAGCACAAGTTTAACCTTAATACTTTACTACGATTTACGGTTGGAACATCACAAACCAATAAAGAAGCTTACCAGGCTCAAACCACGGTACAGAGAGCCATGATGCAGAAAGGGCCAAGCCCCAGCTCCATCGTAAATCTCATAAATACATAAAGGCTGGCCAGTTCGTTCTAGCTCTCCTTCATCCCGTTCATTCACCTCAAATTTTAGCTTCTCCGATTTGCGAGCATTTCGGTATATCTCCTCCCAGTCTTCAACATCTCTTTCCATTCTGTCCTCTAGCTACATATCAGATGAAGAAGAGATAATTCAATATAACAGACCAATGCAGCTCAACAAGACTCACAGAAAATGACTAGGGAGAACCTAGAAATATGTCTGATGGCAGCAAAATTTGATACCTCCTCAGATTCTACTTTCTCGTACTCTTCAGCTCCCTCAATCTCTTCAAGAACATCCCAGTCTAATTTGGAAGGAAGCTCATCGGAAACAAACAGGGTATTGTTGTCAACAGGGTTTGTTGACTCAATAACACCCATGAACTTCTCTTCGACTTGGAAAACAATTCCAGATTTTCCAATTGAAGCATAAGCGGAGTCCAGGACGAAGCTTTTCGGCTGCTCTAATTCGCTCCTGAAGAAACTCCACTCCCATGCTGCCCCTTGAAGTTGAGAAATAGAACCTGGCAAGAAAGTATCAGATGGAAAATGGAGTATGTTCTCCAAAAGCCGAGCATAACCAGTAATGCATTCTGTTGCCATTAAGTTCTTAGTTAAGAGTCTTCCTGAAGAAGCAATTGTTTGAGCAAACTCAGAGAGCCTTCCATCTGATATCAAGGGTGAAAAAGCCTTCAATAGTGCATCAGGATCGTTTCTTCGGAAAAATATTCCATGAACCTCGTCAGCCAGCTGCAGTTAAAGGTCCGCGAATAAGCCAACAACGTAATTGGTATTGTCTGATAATCAGGAAATTATTAACTTCAGTGTACTCACATATTTTTTCATGACAGGAAAGTCGGGTGTTATGATAGGGATGCCAAAGCTCATAGCTCGCACAATTAATGGAGGAAAATTTTGTTCCTCTTGGGACGAAGCATAAACAAGAATATCAGCCATCAGTAGAACTTTATTCACATCCTCGTTCAAACCAAAATGCCGAACAGTGCCTTCGGTCAGCCCGAGCCTCGATGCAACCTCCTGCATTCATGTATTAACACACAATTATGTCTTCAGTATACAATCTTAACCAACACTAATCACTCACAGCCGAATCAAATTGTACGAGGATATTCTTTCCTTGAGAAAATATATTGTGTTTTTAATAGCACGGCCTGAATCATATAATATACACATGGATACAATTCTTATGATAACAAAATTACTATAAATGAGCAAGCAATATGTACTGGAATTAAGAGAAATTTAGACGAAGTTTTTTTATGTATGCACCACTTGAAGTTTTTAGCTCAAGACCAATGAACTTCTGTGGATAGCATTAGCATTGATTACGGAAAGTCTATTTCCTAATCATCTACAAAGGATAAGATATGATTAAAGCCTACCAAAAAAATTCATACCTGTACAGCATCACTCTGTCCTTTGGTAGAATTACCATATAGAAAAACAAACTTAAAAGAATTGCTGGTATCTTTTCTCCTCCCATATCGTGTTAAAAGTGGTCCCAACATGTGCATTGCCACGGCATTATCCCAAGAAAACTCATTATAAAAGAAGGAGCTCCCAAGCACCAAGATGATCACGTCTTCCTCGCCAAATTCGTTAATTTCCCTTAGTTTTTGTTTTGTATGGGTTTCACTGTAGCTTTCCGCAGCCCAAATATCAACTACAGATTCCGGAATCACAACGAAGTTCCCATCGTCAAGAACGCTGTGCAACATCTGAACAAATAATAAGATCTTAGTCAATTACAAACACAATTTGGTACACTTGTAATGTTATCTTATTGCGGACAGAAATCTACCGGCAGGGTAAACTGTGGAAAGACAACAACATCTGCTCTCGCAAAAGCACTTCTCCAATGGGAGATTAGAGAGTTCTGGCCCATCCTTTGGTAAACAGGCAACTGATTTGCAAGAATATCTTCATGAACTATCCATATAAGTGGTACTGAACGAAATGGCTCCTGCATAAGACTGCATAAATATACAATTTTATCACCATAGAATCTTAACCACGGAAGTAATTGCCAAAAATTCAGAGAAGCCCAACAGCTTGTAACTTTTCACATCTTAGGCAGCAAATATAGTGTACAATACAAAAGGTCACTCTGATAGCAAACAACCAAAGAAACTTAATTTACCCACCTTGAAATGGCTTCTTTTGCTTCAAGCGAATCAGCAATAACACCTTCAAAACTGCAGAAGATGAATCACTGTAAATCTATCCAGGTGGAGTGGAGAAACAAAAAATATTTTAAAAAGCAACCGAGAATCATCTGCCAAGAAAATAATTTGAAAATATGGAAAGGAAAACAACAATTTTTCAAAGAATTAATCGGACACATACATTGTCCAATCAGCGTGCCCCAACTGCTCTGAAACCAAAAGTTTGACATGGCCAGCTAGGTGTTCCCACAATGAGCGTGCTTCACCATTCTCTACGGCAAAAACCTGACAACTTTTAAGGTCACAAGCTTTTCTAAGAGATGCAGGAAATAAGTCACATATAGGCTTGTATCCACACTTCACTGCATTTTATGGTGGATTAACAAATTAGAGCATCCATTCTGCTTATACCATAAATGGGAGAAAAAAAGAATCTCATCATGAACGCTAGAGCTGCAAGCATAAAATGCCATAAAGTTTCACCTTAAACGCATAACCCAGTTTTTGAAGATTCTTCATAACTGTGACCAACATTAGTGTTCGGGGATCTTTCTTCATATTCCCTAGTACCTGTCATTCATAAAATATAAAACAGATGAGTGAAGAGGAAGTGCATGGAGAAAAAAAAGATTATATGAGATCGATCAGAGAAAATAAAACAGTGTTGATGTACATAACAACGGTAGTTTTCCAAAGCTAATGTGGACATGACTCCTACTAGACTGAAACGACTGTTTGACAATGCAAGTAACTTTGAACACCCCACTGGCAAGTTCAAAAATGATGTTCCAGCAGACTCCTCGACGCCTCTACAAAGTTAATTTAGCTTCAACTCCATACCGGCATACCCCAAGGTGCAACATTTAACTGAAACACATGGCATTTGCCCATGAGCCTGTCTATGTCTAGTCAGGGGGTTTTAGTTTAACTAACTACTATTTTTATTCTCCATTGGCTCAGACTCAACACAAAATTTTAGATCTTTGATCCCATAAAATCCTACTGCTTGTTCAACCTTGCTGGTGGTCATCCACTTTAAACTATGATAAGAAAAGAACATCAACCAGGGTCCACATCAAATCTTTTTAAAAGGAGATCTCATTCTCATGGAATCTTGTCCAAGATGTCTTCCAAAAGAAAAACCTTTTATAAAGTCTATTGGCAATGACCCAGGACTACTCAGAAGCTCCTCTTCTAAACCTAATGAAAATAATGTTGCGTTTCCTCAATCAAATCCTCCGAACCCAAGTGCTAAAGATAGAAACATCTACTAAACTATACGAGAAGAAAGGCGTCTTAATGTTCTGTCCAACAGTGAACACTAGCGCTCAAACCACCAGGAGTAGTTTACAAACTAAAGTGGATCTAACAATCCAAGCACTTAAAAAAAAGGTCTCTTTCATGCATATATTGAAAAAAGGCAATGAAAGAACTCACGAGAGCTAGCCTTGGCGGACGAACGCCGATCCTGACCGTTGAACGCAAGGGATCAAGCCCTTCTCCTTCAATCAATGTTCTCGCAATTCCTCCAGGCACATACTTCAACGTACTCCCCAATCCAATTTGACTTCTCACCTGCCCTCGTTTCACATTCCCTTGCCAAGTAATCGAATTCTGAAGCAACAGCGATGACATAACGAACGCACAAACCGTGAACGCGACGAGAAAGTAGAACAAACAGGTACCACGAGGCTTAAGTAACGAAATCAAGCCCTTGCGATTCAAGGATCGGGCAATGTGATGAGGTCGGTTACGCAATGAAGGCCGATCCAAACCTGAGTGAGATCGATCTCGCCTATCGCTTGAATTGCGCTTGAGACGGAGTCGATCTCTAATAGAATGGAAAGAAGTCTCTCCGTTTCCGGCGACGTTGTTAGCGTTGTTGTGATTACCGTCTCTTCCGGCGCCGCCATTGTCATCGATCTCGAGCGAGAGAGAGTTTCTCACCATGGAGAAAGAAGAAAAACTGCTGCGAAGAAGAAGAAGAAGCTTCTCTCTCAGTTTCAGGTGCCACAAAACTTCACCATTAGAGAGAGATTCAGATTTGAGAATTGATTTGCGTAAAACTTTTTTGAGTTAGCGAATCTGATAGTGGTGGAGATTGAACAATTTTTGTGTCAAAAACTTTTTTTTTTGTTTTAATAATAAATTTACATTTTTCAAATTTAATTTTATTAATATATTATTGTTAGGACGGTGACAACAATTTCACGCGTTTTATCACACAAGTCCACACTTGCTTTTTTGAGCAGTAATTGTCACTATTTGTGATAATGGAATCACTATCTTTTTCGTAAATCTCTATCTAATTATGTCATTTGTTTATTTAATTAAACGTTATTATCCAATAAATTATGCTGTTTGTAATAATAACCGGAGATGCGGTCATGCAAATAAACCGTATTAGCCATTTCAAAATTTTAACATGGACTACATGGTTTGATATAACTGGAGATGAACACTATACAATAGTTGATTAGTTGTTACTTATCATAACCATCTTTCATCTACTTTTGTTTTAGAATTGAACATTGAATTTACTCTTTGACCATAAACTATTAAAATGTTGACCTACTTATGTGTGTTTCGGAAAATAACGGATAAAGATTGAGGAAAGAGTATTTCCAATTTATATTTAAACAATGTCTAATTTTTGTAAAGTTTGATAATCTCAAACTGTAATATGTTGCAAATGATCCATAATTTGTTAATATTATTTCACAAATCCCCAATGCTTTATAAGATCTTTTTTTTATCACATCATTGTAACCTCTTATGGCTTTTAATTTAGTTAACATAATCATCTGCCATTTCATAAAATAAGTATTAAAATGCATGAATCATTGACTTCTAGAATAACGATTGAGTACGAAACAATCAAAATTAAATGAAAACATAAAATTGTTACATACCAGATTATTAAGAAATGAGCTATATTTTGTATAATGCAAAACCAAAAAAAAATTATGCTATTAATGCAATCTGTATTCTGCCAATGTTATTCAATGCAGCAGACTGGCATACATATCTGGTTACATCCGACTTTCTTCAAACTAAAAATGTAAGAAAAATAATATGTCATAATTAAACAGGTGATTTTTATTTTTATTAAGAAAACTAAACATGCAAAGAAAAAGACAATTTAAATCGATTAGATATTGTTGATCGGATCCGATGCCTTTTCATGAAAGAATAAATGGAAGTTATGTAACAACACATCCACATCCACACCCTTCGTTCTCCATTATACTGTACCTCCGTCAATTGTTTATGTTTGAGGTCCATATTTATAGCTCTCATATATATAATCACATTATTTGTACTATTTTGAATTTTCCTCTTCCTTTTGTTAGATATTATCTTCATTCGTGCAATTATTGAGAATGTCATTACTTTTTATATTTACATCCATATTTATGTATATACTGACATAAAATCACTGAAGATAACATGTTTTTTTTTTTGATACAATTTAAAGTAATTTTTACAAATATGTTTTTTACTATCAAAGTAATTAAAAATAACATGTTTTTTACAAATATATTTCGGATAGTAATTTTTGATACAATTTAAATGCTGGTGATTTTTTTTTAGTTGGTTTGTAGTCCATTTGATAGTTTTATACATGTATTTCATGATGAATGTATCCAGAACATCTAGTTTTAAAACTGGAACTTTCATCCAAGTGTTAGTAGTCAATCGGATTTTTTTTAGGGTGAATTAGCTGTATAACCAAAATCCAATGTTTAATTAAGAATATAGCATTATGTTTGAAAAATTTAAGAAAGTAACATAAAGAAGGAAGGAAGAGCTCCATCATTGGTGGTTCAAGGCTGAGGTGGCAGGAGAGAGAAGCTCTCCTCTTTTCTTTTTTTTTACCCTTTTTCAATTTTCACTCAAATTTTTTGTTTTAAAAAATTGATTCAAGTTTATGATTCTTCTGTAACAAAAAACTAGAATTTTTTTTTCATGTATTATGATTTAAATTTTTCAAAACAGACATAAACATATTAAAATACAATTTTTTGGTTAAAAGTACAATTTTTAATGTAAATAGAACACATATGGAATAGTATATAGTAAAATGAAATGGAATATGTAGAACAAAACATTAAACATTCTTACTATGAAAAACTTATCAATTGCCTTATACCCTTCTCTTCTATGTTTACTATTCTCCCATCAATCCCAGTTATATTATTTTGGTCAAATCTTGTTTCTATTCTATTCTATTTGTGGAATCCAACTTTCTTTTGGAATTTTTGGTGAATTAGAAAAATTAGATCCGCATGTGAAATTTTTGTAAACTCAATTAGTTAAAATTATTTGATTTAATCTCTCGGTTTAATACCCACCAATCAGATGCATATTTGCAATTTCACAAACTTAAGAAATCAAATTGCTTTAAGAATTTTTTATCTACGTTACGGCGAACCCATGTTGTGACGGCAAGGATTGAAGGCGTCACCGTTGAGAGTAACGGTTGATTTTCTGAAATAGTTAAGAATATAATGGTGACTAAAGTTGCAGAGGTCATAAAGAGAAGAAAGAGGAAGACAGGAATTTGTGGTTTTTTTTTCCAGTTTTAGATTAAGTGACGAAGAGAAAGGGAGAAAACACAGAAGAAAAGATGATGATGTGGCATGAGGGTAAAATTGTATATATTATAATTTATACAGAGAATATTGTTGTGCTTTTTTTCTTTGGTTAGTTTGTTAATTATTAAATTTTTGTTGGTTATTTTAGCAAATTTCTCTTTTTTTTAGTTGGTTTGTAGTCCATTTGATAGTTTTATACATGTATTTCATGATGAATGTATCCAGAACATCTAGTTTTAAAACTTGAACTTTCATCCAAGTGTTAGTAGTCAATCGGTTAGAAAATATGATGTCTCATCTCTCTTCGATTGGAGTTCGGACCATGTTGGAGAACACATTTATACAATGTAAAATCTCAGACCAAACAAAATAATACAATGTAAAATCGTCTTTAAGTATTAAAATGTTAGTTCTTCTACGACTAAAAAAGATAATATGACAAAAATCTCAAACGTTTTAATTATTAAAAACGATTAAAAAAAAAAACTCAATTCTCAGTTCAAAATATTTTACTATTTGAACTATAATAGTACTACTAGCTAGGTTGACAAATAATAGATTTACCGTAATAATTAGGGTCAGATTTTACAATAAGCCCAAAAATTAAAGTACGGAAAGTAAAATAGTAAAAATCAGTTACCCGAATAGGCCATGCCCATTGGCTATTTCCGACCACTAGGTTAGTACAACTGAACCAACTGTTCCAATAAAGAAAGACTAACAGATTACGTCAGATTTTTTGCATTCTCGTTGATCAATCAGAAAGTGACACCTCACAGATTACGTCTTCTTTTTTTTTTTTTTTTTTTTTTTTTTTTTAGATTACGTCTTCTTATTTCTTACTAAACTAAAAACCAAAATAAAAAGATGAATACAAAAATCATTTTCCTTATCTTATTGACTTGTCAAGATTCTCTTCTTCTTCCTCCTACAACCTCAGTTCCCTCCGTCCATGGCTGCAACCTTACCTCTATCTCCGATTAGCCATCAGTTGTGTCGGTTCGGGAACAACGCTTTGACAACGCATCGGTTCTGTTCGCCTAGCTTCTTGATTTCTTCTCCTTGTTTCATCGGCTTGACCGGAATGGGCTCTGCTACTCAGTTACGTGCTCGTCGTTCTCTGATCTCTTCCGCAGTTGCGACGAATTCGATGTTGCATGACGTCGGAGCCACCGTGGCAGTCCTCGGTGGAGCTTACGCGCTTGTCTTAAGCTTCGAGAGTCTCACCAAGCGAAACGTGATTCAACAGGTCTCTTAATTATCTTTTTAGTTATCCACACAATTTCTCCAAGCCAAACGTGATTCACCACTATATATTGCTTACCGCTAAATTTGTATGAGTATTAGTAACACCTTGCGGCAGCGCGTAGCAAGCAGTATACCGCTTTTATCATGACCAATCGGTAAAGCGGACAAGAGCAAAGTGGTCCAACATATTTACCACTATATGTTAATTACCACTTTTCCTAACCTCTTTTAACGATTCGTAATCGCTTACCGCTAAACAAATATACTGTTTTGTGTCACCTATTAGATCAACAAATATACCGTTTTATGTGACCAATTAGATCAATATACTCTAAATTGAGAATGTGCTGTTTCTTTGTGTTAAGAAAGTAAGTAATAATCACTTTGATTCTCTATTCACTTCTTGATCTTAAATTGGTTTCTGGTGAACAGAGTTTGAGTAGAAAGCTTGTGCATATACTCTCAGGTCTGCTTTTCGTACTAGCGTGGCCAATCTTCAGGTATTGCTTTCTCTCTATGTCAGTAAATCTCTCTATACCTTTTAAACATGCATCATTCTGATTTCTTTTTCTTCATCTTTAAGTTTAGCGGATCGACCGAGGCTCGATACTTTGCTGCTTTTGTTCCGTTAGTTAATGGCTTAAGGCTTGTTATTAACGGACTATCTGTTTCCCCCAATTCTACTCTTATTAAATCTGTCACAAGAGAAGGGAGACCAGAGTAACTTGTCTAACTTTTTTCATTCTTTCTCCAACTTTGATGATTTTCAACAATATGATGACACATGTCTTGTTTTCCAACCATCACAGAGAGTTGCTTAAAGGTCCTTTGTTCTACGTTCTAGCTCTTCTTATCTCTGCGGTTTTCTTCTGGAGAGAGTCTCCTATCGGTATGATCTCGTTGGCAATGATGTGCGGTGGCGATGGTAAATTTTCTGTCAACTACAGTATTACAATTTATAAAATACATAAAAAAAAAAAATGTACTAAGTGCTGCATCACTATGTCTATGTAGGAATAGCTGATATAATGGGACGAAAGTTTGGGTCAGCTAAGCTACCTTACAACCCAAGAAAGAGTTGGGCAGGAAGCATCTCCATGTTCATCTTCGGCTTCTTTATCTCCATCGCGTAAAATATACTGACCCCACAATTAATCATCAAAATGTGTCTCCTTATTGATGATGAACAACTCTTAAGAACTGAGATGATTTTGCAACTAAACCGAACCGTTTTCTTTTTTAATCTGCAGATTACTTTACTATTACTCAAGGCTTGGATACCTTCACTTGAACTGGGAAACGACCTTCCAGCGAGTAGCAATGGTCTCAATGGTCGCCACGGTGGTCGAGTCGCTACCCATCACAGATCAATTAGACGACAACGTTTCGGTTCCTCTGGCTACTATTATAGCTGCTTATTTAAGTTTCGGATATTAGATTAATCCCTCATAAACCGAATGTATATATCTATTTTTTTATGAATCCGACCTTACGAATGTTGCCACGATTACGCTATTAGCTAATCTGGTTTCGGATTAGGAGTGTTCGATACATAGAAAATAAAATGGACCACCAAAAGAACTATACTGTATATAGGACAAATAATTCAGTCTGATGGTTTGGAAACATATTTTTAGAAACTATAGGGGTGGTGTGCATTTTCTATAAAATATAGGGATATATGGAGAGTTTCTAAGAAACTATAGTGCTATCAATGTAATGTATCCCAAAATAAAGAAAAGATACCTAACAACAACTAGTAGTATTATGACTTTGTGACTCACGAGAGGTTAGCAGCATTGAAGCATTGTTGACAATTTACGAAATTTTGTGGATGTTTTCATCAATGAAAAAAACAATTAAGGAAAAATTCTTTAAATTAATAATTACAATACAAATATTAGGAAACTTCGTCGAAATATTCTCTATTGATGTCCAAATCAATGAATTCATTTTATGAGAACGAAATATCTGCAATTGATGAACTATTTTGTTGTTACCTAATACTTGATTAGAATTCGTGATGGAATCCATGATTCAAGTTTCTTCCGAAAATAGATCAATATAGGGTACAGCTGATTTCTATTATTAAGACACAAGACGGTAAAGGCAAAGATATTTTACCAAAAGATGAATTCAGTATTTCAAATTTCAAAAAGCTTAATGTTTCCATGTTGGAACATAATATACTATTAAGGGAATTCCCTTTAATTTAGTATCTGAGTCATTCACACATACATACAATCTGATTAAACATATCGGTAAATATGATTTTACCATCAAGAGATAAAAAGACATCTGTAACAAACCATTACTGGGGGTAAGTCTGCTTCTTGAAAAATTAAAATTATTAATTCAAAACTTAATAGAGAAACAAATTTGATAGTACACTCACCAACAGTGTTAATTCCTTTTCAAATGTCACTATAATTTTATTGTGAATATGAAAAGTTTCTTGACAAAAATAAAATAATTAGATCATCAACATCTACCATTCTATTTTTAGATCGGATACGAAAACCGATCACGACCTATCTATCTATATCTATGCCCAACTATATATTTGAATCTTTGACAAAGAAAACCTTAATTTGAAGACTAAAAAAAAAAGCTTACGTCCCCTAAATTAAATGCATATCATATACTTAGTATCCAATGTATTAGGGAATTAATTATTTTAGTTCGCATGTATCCAAAAAATTCATAATTGCGGTCAAGAAGGACAGAGAGAATTAAACCGGACAAATACTGACGTAATCCGAAGCGGCCGGTTCTGGTTTACACGCGTGGAGCGGTAGGTTTACACGTGTCACTCAAAAAGCAAAACAAAGGGGGGTAGTTTGGTAAAACCGAAAAACATGCCAAGTAACGTTTCCGCTTCTCTGCATTAACACTCGCCACCTTTATAATTCCTCTGCAACGCAGCGAGAGAGAGAGAGAGATCTTTCTCTAACCTTAAATGGAAAAAATCGATACAAATTAAGAGCAGATTACAAAAAAAATATTTTGTAATTAAGAACTTTATAATTAGTAAATTTTGAATTCCTAATTAACGAAAAAATAGAAAAAGAATAAATTTTCTACGGCGATATTTACACGGTTCCGCCGCCGAGAGGAGGAAGAAAATTTCGTTTTCCGATGATGGAAGAGACGACGGAAAACGCCGGAAAAATCAGCTCGCACAAAAACGTCGCTGCTTCTGGTCACAATCATCACAACCGTTATAAATATCTCTCAAATTACGGCGCCGGGAGGCGTTTTCTGTTCTTCGCTTCGTGTTTTGGATTTTACGCTTTGGTGGCTGCGACGTACGCTTGGTTCGTTTTTCCGCCGCATATTGGTCGTACGGATCATGTATCGTCGTCTTCGTTAGGTTGTAGAGAAGACAATGAAGGTTCATGGTCCATTGGTGTTTTCTATGGAGATTCTCCATTCTCTCTCAAACCAATTGAAACCGTGAGTATCTGAAATTTCATTCTCTGTTCATGTAACACAATTTTTGATTTAGAGAATTTGTGCATTTTGGGTCTTTGTTTTTTCCTTAGGTCACAGGTAATTGTTTCATCTAGGGTTCATGAAATTTTGGGTCTTTTTGAAAATTTTAAAACAGATCAATGTATGGAGGAACGAGAGTAGAGCATGGCCTGTGGCTAATCCAGTAATAACATGTGCCTCCTTCACCAATGCTGGTCTTCCAAGCAACTTTGTAGCTGATCCTTTTCTTTATGTACAGGTATCTACAATTCTGACCCCTCTTTGATTCTTTTGTTTTGCTCTGTTTCTCTGATTTTGGATGATTGTGGTTGTCATGAAACAGGGTGATACTCTTTATCTCTTCTTCGAAACTAAAAGCCCCATTACAATGCAAGGTGACATAGGAGTTGCTAAAAGTATTGATAAAGGAGCTACTTGGGAACCTCTTGGTATAGCTTTGGATGAAGCTTGGCACTTGTCTTTCCCATTCGTCTTCAATTACAATGGAGAAGTAAGCTTATCAGTTACCTACAATGACATAGTTTTAGATCATGCGTTTCTCTAACTTTTTTTTTGTTCGAAAGATATACATGATGCCGGAGAGTAACGAGATTGGACAGCTTAATATCTACCGTGCTGTTAACTTTCCCTTAAGTTGGAAGCTGGAGAAGGTCGTCTTGAAAAAGCCGCTTGTGGATTCGACCTTGATACATCACGAAGGAATCTATTGGCTATTTGGATCAGATCATAGTAGTTTTGGGGCCAAGAAGAATGGACAGCTTGAAATTTGGTATAGTAGCTCTCCACTAGGGACATGGAAACCACACAAGAAGAATCCTATCTACAATGGTAACAGAAGTGTTGGAGCAAGAAATGGTGGCAGAGCGTTTTTATATGACGGGAATCTTTATCGTGTTGGTCAAGATTGTGGTGAAAATTACGGGAAAAGGATACGCGTTTTTAAGATTGAGGTTCTTTCCAAGGAAGAGTACAGAGAAGTTGAAGTCCCTTTCTCTTTCGAAGCCTCGCATAAGGGTAAAAATTCTTGGAATGGAGTTCGGCAGCATCATTTTGATGTGAAACAGCTGAGTTCTGGTGAATTCATTGGTCTTGTTGATGGTGACCGTGTAACTTCAGGCGATCTGTTTCATCGGGTTATTCTTGGTTATGCCTCACTTGCAGCTGCTATTTCTGTGGTTATATTACTTGGGTTTTTGCTTGGGGTTGTCAACTGCATTGTTCCATCAACCTGGTGTATGAACTACTATGCGGGAAAAAGAACCGATGCGCTCCTGAATCTGGAAACCGCGGGTTTGTTCTCAGAAAAGTTAAGACGGATTGGTTCTCGCTTGAACCGAGTACCGCCTTTTCTCAGAGGATTTGTGAAGCCTAATTCCTCCATGGGAAAATTTACACTCGGTGTTATAGTCCTTGTAGGACTTTTGCTCACATGTGTAGGCGTGAGATACATCTACGGCGGAAGCGGAGCTATAGAGCCTTACCCATTCAAAGGTCACTTGTCTCAGTTCACCTTAGCAACTATGACTTACGATGCTCGTCTCTGGAATCTGAAAATGTACGTTAAGCGTTACTCTCGTTGTCCTTCCGTCAAAGAGATAGTTGTCATATGGAACAAAGGACCGCCTCCTGAACTGACCGAGCTAGACTCTGCCGTGCCAGTCAGAATCAGAGTCCAGAAGCAGAATTCTCTGAACAATAGGTTTGAGATTGATCCACTGATTAAAACCCGAGCCGTTCTTGAGCTTGACGACGATATAATGATGCCTTGTGATGACATTGAAAAGGGGTTTAGAGTTTGGCGGGAGCATCCAGAGAGACTGGTCGGATTCTACCCACGTTTTGTTGATAAAACCATGACTTATAGTGCAGAGAAATTTGCGAGAAGTCATAAAGGATACAATATGATTCTCACAGGAGCAGCGTTTATGGACGTTCGCTTTGCCTTTGATATGTATCAATCAGATAAAGCGAAACTCGGTCGGGAATTTGTGGACGAGCAGTTTAATTGTGAAGACATCTTACTGAATTTCCTGTACGCAAATGCGAGCGGGTCGGGAAAAGCCGTGGAGTATGTGAGACCGTCTTTGGTAACAATTGACACTTCGAAATTTTCCGGTGTAGCAATTAGTGGAAACACGAACCAGCATTACAGAAAGAGAAGTAAGTGTCTCCAGCGATTCTCTGATTTGTATGGAAGTTTGGCTGATCGAAGATGGGAATTTGGTGGGAGAAAAGACGGGTGGGATTTGTAGAACAGTAGTGTTACTTATAGGGCAAGTAAGTAGTTCTTCAAAAAAAAAAAAATGAGTTTCAAAAATATAAGCCATAGCTCTTTCTTGATATTTATTTTTTGACTCCGGTGGTTGTAGGTCCAAAATGTAACTTTAGCCTCTCTCTCTTCTTTTTTTTTTTTTTTTTTTTTTTCTCTTTGATATCTTGTTATATATTTAGAAAATGGTGTGCATGGTGAATGGGCAATTATTTCTGATTTTAGTTATATTAGTAGAGTTCTGTGTGGAATCATAAATTTGAAGGCCTATTTCTCAAATTCTGGGGCTAACTTTTGAAAAAGAAAAAAAAGTTGCTTGTGAATAAAGTAGAATTCAACAAAAGCCAATAATTCATTAATTTCCAATAGCACTATATAATTCAAATATGTTAATCACTCTATATATACACACACACATAACTTAAGCAACAAATCTCATAACTTAAGCAACAAATCTTCTCATCCTTTCTAACAATGTCTACGACAAAAGCATTTTCGCTTCTCGTGTTTCTACTCTTCGTGTCCCTTGTTCACGCCACAGATCAATGTCCGCTCAACTCCATCTACCAATTTGGTGACTCCATCGCCGACACCGGAAACCTCACTATGTTCTTGAACTATCAGATTCTTTCACGGATCAAGTGTAATAGGGCTTAATTGGGCGTAGGTAATAGAAACCATCGTTCATAAACATTATCCAAGCAAATTCATAAACATTTTTTCTCTATAGAGTAGAATTCAACAATTCAAGAACACAGAATAACTTACAATTGTATGTTCTAATCAATAACTTGGAAATAGTACTAGCACAGACCACAATGGTATATCTACTGATAGTATAGAATCACACAATTAAACACTAACACAATTAAAAATATATAGTCATCCCGAATTATTTATTTGAATTTGTAATAAATTTAAATTTAAATTAATGGATGATTCAAGCCCAAGTTGATATAACAAATACTATATATATTCACAAATGAAAACCTAAGCCTAGTAATGAGTGATAGCATTGGTCATTGAATCGAATGAATCATTGCAAAGATCCAAAATTTGCAACAAAAAAAAAACTCTACCAAGTGATCAAAATCCTATCCTTTTGCTATTCTCAAAATTAAAATAATATTTTAATTAAAAGATGGAAAAAAAAAGAAACAAACTAAAAAAGAAGAAGAAGAAGTGAAGAAGAAAGAAGTGTCACATCTCTCTCTCTTCCATCAAAATTTCTCTGCTCTCTCTTCCCAATATTCTTCCTTTTTCATCAATCGAGATTTTATCGCTTTTTAATTCGAGAATTTCGAAATCGGAACCCACCACCACCACCCTCGTAAAGAAACCAATCACAAAATCAGCCCTCCATCGCCAACAGATCCAACGGTTCTGTGATTTTTTTTTTTTGAAAAATTTGTCTTCTTTCTTCTCTCTCTCTCGCTGGGTTTGATTAATCTAATCTAAATCTAAATGGGTCGTATCGAGATGTAGAAGAAAAGGGAAATGTTGGCAATGGAGAAAGAATTTGATTCAAAGCTTGTTCTTCAAGGGAACGGTGCTAATGTTTCCAGAAGCAAGAGCTTCTCCTTTAAAGCTCCTCAAGAAAATTTCACTAGCCATGATTTCGAATTTGGCAAGATCTATGGTGTTGGTTCTTACTCAAAGGTTTCTAATTTCTTAACCATCTCTTCGTTTTTTCATTCCCCTATTAGGCAATGTGGCTTTGATTCATGAACCCAGCTCGATTCTCTGGAAAGGATTGTTTTTGTGACCTGTGGATGATTCATATCAGGTTGTTAGGGCAAAGAAGAAGGAATCTGGAACTGTGTATGCTTTAAAGATTATGGACAAAAGGTTTATTACCAAGGAGAATAAAACATCTTATGTGAAATTGGAAAGGATTGTTCTTGATCAACTTGAACATCCTGGGATCATTAAACTTTACTTCACATTTCAAGATACATCCTCACTATGTAGGTATTTCTAATTCAATTCAACACTCCTTTGCTTGAACAAATTGTCTGTGACTGATTGATTTTTTTGTGTCTGCTCGATATGCTTTTGGTAGATATGGCACTTGAATCTTGTGAGGGTGGCGAGCTTTTCGACCAAATAACCAGAGTAAGATGATCACAGAATCTTGGGAGATTGATTTTTTGTATCCAATGTTGTGGGAATTTGACGTACCATCATGGTTCCTTTTGAGTTTTTCTTTTTGCAGAAAGGTCGTCTATCGGAGGATGAAGCTCGGTTCTACACTGCAGAAGTTGTGGATGCTCTTGAGTATATACATAGTATGGGACTGATACATCGAGATATTAAGGTAACTTCTCTGTCGAATATCTTCTCTTTTATGGCCCCACTAATGGCAGTGCTAAGTGTTTTTCTTGAAATGGTATGGTAGCCGGAGAATCTGTTGCTGACTTCGGATGGGCACATTAAGATTGCGGATTTTGGTAGTGTAAAGCCGATGCAGGATAGCCAGATCACAGTACTTCCTAATGCAGCTTCTGGTAACATGACCGTCCATAATCCTTTCTGGTATTTCTGAGCTTAAGGTCTTGTCAATAATTATTGTCAGATTCTGGTTTAAGCCTGTCTCTGTATCACTGGTGACGTATACAGACGATAAGGCGTGCACTTTTGTCGGGACTGCTGCATATGTTCCTCCAGAAGTTCTCAACTCCTCTCCTGCAACTGTCGGGTAAGAGTTTTTTTGTTTCTGTAATTTGCGTTTTGGTTTTGTGGATTACAGTGCCTCTCTCACTTTGAACAATTTCTTTGCTACTCTGTGGAACACCAGAAATGATCTCTGGGCTCTCGGCTGCACTCTCTATCAAATGCTTTCAGGGACTTCTCCATTCAAAGACGCAAGTGAATGGCTGATTTTCCAAAGAATTATAGCCAGAGATATAAAGTTCCCAAATCATTTTTCAGAAGAAGCAAGAGACCTCATCGACCGGTTACTGGTAAGATACATCAAAAGCCATTGTCACCAATCAAATGATATGGCAGTAACTCTTTTACTGTGACATTCTCTCAGGATACTGATCCAAGCAGAAGACCAGGTGCTGGTTCAGAAGGTTATGCTGCTCTTAAGAAACATCCTTTCTTTAATGGAGTTGACTGGAAGAATCTAAGGTCCCAGACTCCTCCAAAACTAGCTCCAGATCCTGCGGTATGTCTCCTCATGTACTTTGGAAATATGGTGCCCTTTATTATCATTATTGTTTTGCTCGTTTATTAAGTCAATTTTTTTACATCTGATGCAGTCTCAGACAGCATCTCCCGAGAGGGATGACGTGCATGGTTCACCATGGAACCTGTCACATATTGGAGATTCTTTACCCACACAGAACGAGGGGCACAGTGCTCCTTCTACATCTTCTGAATCATCGGGTTCCATAACTCGACTTGCTTCAATAGACTCTTTTGATTCAAGATGGTGGGCGCATTTAAGCTTCATCTTTTTTCCTTTGTTTTCTGGGCAAAACTATACTCGAGTTAGAACAATTTGCTAAAAAATTTCTTGTGAACATTTGATTAACAGGCAACAGTTTTTGGAGCCAGGAGAATCGGTTCTGATGATATCAGCCGTGAAGAAGCTTCAGAAAATAACGAGCAAGAAGGTGCAGCTAATACTCACCAACAAACCCAAGCTGATCTATGTCGACCCGTCAAAACTAGTTGTGAAAGGAAACATTATCTGGTCTGATAACTCGAATGACCTCAACGTTCTAGTCACTAGCCCTTCACATTTCAAGATTTGCACGGTACTCATCATTTCCCTATTCTTCTCTCCACCACAGAATCAAAGATGATGAAACTCAAATTGTGACCTCTTCTTGCATTTGTGCAGCCAAAAAAGGTTTTATCATTTGAAGACACAAAACAGAGGGCTTCAGTGTGGAAAAAGGCAATCGAGACTCTTCAGAACCGCTGAGATAAACTCCACTGAAGAATGGTTCTGTTAATTCCTCGTTTGTGTTTTGTTTTTCCTTCTTTTTAAAGATCAAAAACTGACCAAACTCCATTCTTCATATGTTTTTTTGTATTACACCCACCCTTGAAAAGACCACTTCGACACAAAAAGAGAGCTCTAAACTGAAAAACTGCTTTTTGAATCTTTTATATAAGTCAGACAAAAGTATTACAAGGTTGAAGTTACATAAGGTATTGAATTCAAGAATGAGTACTCCTTTCACAAAACCATGGTAACAGTGTTGGAACTTGCAGATTACAAACAAATTAAGTATGTAAAAAGATAAAAAGAAAAGCACTAGACTTGTTGGACTTTGCTAGGCATTGGTCTCTTTGACAGCAAGAGGTTCATACCATTGAGGGCCAAAGCCAGCAGCTTTTCTTGCTTCTACATTAAAAGGTGGTTTCAACGGTCCTCTGAAATGCTCCCTTACTACCGAATGAAACTTGTTAATTATCTCTTCATTGCTATCATCTGATTCTATGCTGCTGATGGTGAATTCTGGATCCTTGGACCGTTCACATAGATACTTAAACCATTTTACACCAGCTGCACAGTGAGTGATTTCTTCAGGGTACACAACTTTCTCTAGTAAATCTGCTGTCTCGTTGTCGCCTCCGTTCCTAAACCGGGAGATCGTTGTGGGTAGTACATCAAGCCCTCTAGCCTGCAGATATAGTATATCAGTGACTGAGAGACCCAAAAGACAGAATCAAAACGGACTAAGTTGCAAGAAGTTGACCTCGTGAACGCAATGCTCTATAGCCAACCGAGCTAAAAGATCGTGAGATGTGGCAGTAGCAGAGTCCCAAAGACCATCATGAGCAGGCAATGCACCGTAACTAGAACCAATTTCCTCAAGCCGAGCTGAAAGCAAAGTAAAGTGACGGCCTTCGTCCTGAGCAACACGAACAAAATCCGTAAAGAAGTCTCTCGGCATCTTCTCTTGCTTGCCAAAACGAGCAATTATATCCTGCAGATTGATTAACATTCCCCAGAATCATCAAAAATGTGAAACCTTTAAGATAGATAATCATCACAGTCAAAAATCAATCCTTTACCCAAGATAAGTCAATTGCCCAGCTTTCAGTATGAGCAAGACTATGAACAATGGCTTGCCTGCTCTGTAAGCTACCAGCTCTTCCCAGCTTCGGCATCAAACTCGGTGACACCAGTTTCACCGGAAGTCGAGCCGGCCTGTCTGGGACGGAGAGATCGACGGTTGGATCGTAGGGTTCGGCGATTGCACCTTGAAGCCATTTCACGGCTATTGAATCGCCAAGCCGGGCTTTTTCGTGCGGGTCCGATGTGTTCAGAATCCTAATCGCCGATTCAATTAGGGTTTCGCAATCCATCTCTCTCTCCTCTTAGTTTTCCCGGCGGCGAGATGAGTAAAAGAAAAAAACATTTCAACGACGTAGAGCGTAGACAGCACGCGCATCACTGAGCGCGTCCACAAGCTCGCCAACATGTCTTCGGTTTTTACTTTTTAATCTACCAATAGGAATAACTTGTACAGAAGTACGTATTAGAAGCAAATTGTAACATGCATTACTTGATGTATACTGTATGTTACACGTCAAATATTTTCTAAGTTACAATTTTGGTTTTTGAAATTCTTTTTGTTAATCTAGAAATTTACTCTATATCAATCTAATTTTTTCACATAATTTTGCTTTACAGTTATAAAAGTTCTTTTATTACCATTTTGTGTAGTTTGGTGTTATACAAGCCTATACAACAGATCTTGTTTTTTTTTTTTGAACTAACAAAAAATTCATTTAAGATAAAAGGGTAGCTTACACTCCAAGAATAGAGGAGGAGATAACAGATAAAAGAGCCGATATAGCTAAGCCATCGACAACAACATTAAAACGACGAGAAACAAAAGCAAAAGAGATAGAGGTAAACGATTGACTGACCACGACAATATCATGAATGATGCTCCGGATCTAGCAACCTTTAGACTTGATTAGGAAGATAAGGATTTGGGAGTCCAAATGAACCGCACTACACGAATCCAATAGTCAGTAAGTAACATAACGAGAATCAATAGCAACGGTAGGCCCAGAAGAAGCCAGAAAATAACTGGGCTTGTCTTCTTCTCAATGGTCCATTCTCTGTTTATTAACTTGAATCGGAAACATAGTTATCAATGAGAAACATTAGTTTCTTTAACGTCATATTTCTTTTTTTGCTATCCATTTTTTTTTATGAAACTCCACTAAACCGTTAGAAAATCAATGGTTACGATTCATCTGTTACATCTCCCGCACCAGGAGAATGCATCTTTCTTGGATGTTGTATCTAACACCCATGATTATCGGTATGGTGAGAACCATCTTCTTACCCGCATTCCATTTAGGCAACCTCAAATGACAAATATCACTACCGAATCCAGTTTTGTCAAATCGATGTCTTGCATCCACCTTCTGATAAAGTCCGCCAAACTCATATTAAAATTTTAACTCACATTTTTTCTTCTAAAAAAATTAATAGTTAGAGCTTTATTTTAATATGAAATTTTGTATAAATCACATGAACTTTCTTCCTACTCCTAATTCTAATTTATTGATTAATTCAAATATTGCAACGTTCTCTTCTACTATATCTATTTTTTTTGTTTTTTTATAACTCAGGTGATCCTAAAGGTTTTCTAGGCCCAAAGACTAATCCTGGGGTCCGGGGAAACCAATGTTAAATTGCTCGAACCCCGGTGGCCAATGCTACTCGAACCCAGGTGGCGGGAATTACCTCCTTTTACCACTAGACCAAGAAGACTTGGTTTACTATATCTATTTTAGTGTAAAGATAATTAAGAGAAAACACAAAACGGTGCTCCATTTTTTCCCTTAATCTTGCAGACTCGTAGGACCACCAGTAGTTTTTGTATCAGGCTCCACAATCTAACAATAAAACTGATAGCATTCAAAGGTAATGTCAGAGAGTTTGACACATCAATATGTATATTTGTGTGAATTATAGTCGACATGCATATCAATTACAATCTGCGAACACACATGAAATTTATTGTTGAGTCTTGCTCATAAATAGGTATGCCACAATAATGCAAATCTGACAAAATAAATGCACCAACTTGAATACACAATCTTTTTGTTACTGTTCTAAATATCAACCTCTACACACCAATTGGTCGTTACTAGTCAATTCTACAATCAATTTGACAAAAATAATAATAACGTCAATTAAACAATCTTTAATTATTTATTTCAAATTTAAATTGATAAGGAAAAAAAAATCAAATCGTCGATTATAGCAACTTGTTGGTCTAGACATTCCAAGTAATCCAAACTTCGAAATATAGCCTAATAAAGAAACATTTCTTATAACCAATTGATTGATAAATATATTTAAAAATAAATAAAAATGTTTCGATCTTGTTTTTCTCTGCTTACTTGTGATCAATCAACACGAACAAAGCTCATGGTATCGTCGTTGATCCAATCATACTTCTCAACAAATGGATTAGGGATTCTCGACAATTCCGGATATCGATCAACTGAATCATCCCAAACATTCTTATCATCAAGATCCTTAAGAACCTCCCAAACACAGTTATTAGACTCGAATCCAGCTCCCATACTCATCATTAGTATCTTCTCACCTTTCTTTAATCTATTCTTAGCTTCCATGTAACCAAGAACATACCATAAACCACCAGAAGACGTGTTCCCGAACCTATGAAGCGCCATTCTCGCTGGCTCGATGTCGAATTCCGTGAGCCCTAAGCTTTTTCCTACTCCTTCGATAATCGCTCTTCCTCCGGGGTGAATACAGAAATGTTGCAACCCTGTTTTTAGGTTTAGACCTATCCCCGAGCTTGCAGGCTCTCTTTTCGCGGCGGTTCTTCGTTTAAGCGCACGGACTATCGCGTAGCGAATCAGTTCCTTGACAGGCAAGACTCTAGGGAGGAGAACTTGGAGGTTCTTGGTTAGGGCTCGAGCTGCGGCTTTTTTTAGGTATTTGGTTAAGAGAAAGCCTGGGTGACCATCTCTGTCTTCCATTTGCATACAGCACGAGTAGGCCTCGTCGTCTGAACCCACATGGGCCCGTACCACTGTGACGAGCTTCATCAAAGCCCGGTTCTTGAACCGAGCTGCGTTGGTTAACAGAACAGAGCTTCCTCCGGCACGGAAGAGACAGTTTGAGAGCATCATTGACCTATCTTTACCGCAGTACCAGTGAGGACCCATTGTCTCGGTGCTAACCACGAGTGCGATAGCGTTTTCACGAGTTTCGAATATCCTTTGCACGATATCTATCGATATAACGCTCGCGCTACACCCTAGTCCCGAGAGGTTGAAGGATTTGATGTCTTCTCTCATCTTGTATCTGTTGATGACTCGTGAGGTTAGAGAAGGAGATGGAGCGAAGAGTGAGACGTTGACGACGAGAATGTCGATGTCTGAAGGAGAGATTAAGCCTTTTGTCTTGTGGAAAAGCTTGTCGAGAGTGTCGAACATGATCTCATCCATTTCAGAGTGAGCATCGAGGAGAGTAGGAGAGTCTTCTCTACCTTCAAGCACGTTTCTTGGACCGTACGTTTCCTCTCCAATCCCGGAACTAGCCATTGTACGAAGGAGAAACCTGTACTCTTCAAGACCCAAGTTCTTGTTTCGTTGAACGACCTTAGCACAAGTCTCGGTGTCGAGTTTTCTCTCGTCCATGCCTTTGTAGCACTCGTAGTGAAGCATGTAGCATTTTCTCTGGTTTCTTCTTTTGAGAACAAATTTGGAGATGTAGAAGACGAAGAGAGTGGAGAGTAGGAGCAGAGAAGAAAGTGAGAAGAGCTCCATGGAAGAAAGAAAGAAAGAGAAAGAAACACAGAGAAAAAGAAAGAGAGTGAGTGAGAATTTAGTGAATTGTGTTTTCAAATTGTGTAAAAGTTGCAGAATATGTACGGATTTTATAGAGTTAAAGTGATATGGTCAGATTTGTTTTTCAAACTTTCTTTTTCCCACACACGTTTTAAAATTAGTTTTGTCATAGACCTATTAACTCCTCTACCAACTACTTTTTTTTATTTGAAAATTAGTTTTTTGTTGCGTAAAGAAAATACCATTGTAACTATATATGCT